CACACACACAGACACACACACACACAGACACACACACACACACACACACACAAGATGTTTTTCATATTCTTGCTTTCTGCAAGTATGATGTCTGTTATACAGACAAGATATTTTTTATATTCTTACTTTTTACAAGTATGGTGTCTGTTAAACAGACAGACAGACACACTCACACACACACACACACACACACACACACACACACACACACACACACACACAAGATGTTTTTCATATTCTTGCTTTCTGCAAATATGGTGTTCGTTAGATAGACAAGATGTTTTGTACAAGCGTAATGTCTGAATAAATAATAATAATAAATAAATAAATAATAAATAATAATAAATAGTAATAAATAATAAATAAATAATAAATAATAATAAATAGTAATAAATAATAAATAAATGTATTATTAATTAGAGGAGGGGCCAGCTACGTCAGGGTCTGCAGCATGTAATCTTAAATAATTTTTATTTTTCTTAGAAGCGGTAGCATATAATTTATCCGCTGACATAAGAGATAAATGCTTTTTGTCAATTTTCATTTTTATAGCTGTTTCGCCCTTCGTTTTTAATGCCGATTTAAATACACAAATAGCATTAATAGTAGTTAACGAAAACTTGTTACGGTTTTTCGTTTTTAAATTATTTAAAAAAGAAAACTTTCTTTCCGGATCGGCATTTGAATTTGGAAGAGATCTTATAGTACTTATAACATTTGTGAAATTAGGATACTTAGTAAAATTGTATCGATTTTGTAAAATTTTTTTCCACATACTGTCGAAATTTAATTTAGAAAAGTTTTGTTTTTCTTCCATTGTAAAATCTAATGGTAAAGCAATCCATTCTTCTTTTAAACCATTTTCATCAAAACCGCCAATAGTTTTAGCTATAAAAGAAACATCATTGAATGAAGTTTCTCTATTATTATCAAATAAAGTTATGTATGGTCGAAAAATTTGTAACTTTGATAAAAACATGTTTATGGGTAATCTTTTACGAATTTCTTCCGCAGCAGTCACATAAAATGTTAAACAGTTCTCTCGAACAATTTTAACTATGTTTATGTGACCTTTAAGTGTTAATTCGTTTAGATATTCTTCACATTCTGATCCCAAAATAATTTCATTTATAACTTTTTGATTTTCTTTTAGTGAGAATATAATATTTGTAGAAAATGGTTTTAAATATTCTTCTTTTAAAAAATTTCGACAGATTTGGAAAAGAAAGTTTCTAGATTTTGGATGTAATAAATGAATCCTTGTTTCTAATGCTTGAAAGTATGCATTAAATGCATTAAAGTAATTTAAAACGTATTTTAAAAACAGGAAATAAGCTTTCATCTCTACGTTGTCCATCATAGACAAGAGATATTCTCCAGAATTTGTTTTTTCACTTACAACCATTTCAGTAAGAAAGTATTTAATTGTATTCCAAGATTCAAGAAGCCTTTCGATACATAAATAGTGCGAAAGCCAGCGCGTATCACATAATTTCAATATTTTGCGATTTGTTTCTTGAAAACATTCACAAAATTCACGAAAAATAGCTGTACGTTTTGGACTGCTATTGAGATAAGTAGCATTTTTTTTTAGAAATTCCTCGCAATATGAAGGCATTTTAGAACAGGCCGCATGCGCTGCTAATGCAAAAGAATGGCATGGGCATGAAAATGTTAATAAATGTGGACACATTTTTTCCAATTTTTTTTTAAACGATAAATGTTTTCCTGTCATAACAGATGCATTATCGCATGATAAAGCTACGATATTTAAAAACGGTATCTGTAATTTCCACATTTCACATTTAAATGCCTCAAACAACTTTTCTGCGCTTGAATCTTTGGCATCAATATCGATTAATTTGACTAATTGTGAGCGAATATCTAATGTCTCTGGATCAACGTATCGAACAAGAAAAGTCATCCATTTATTATTTGTTACATCAGATGTTTCGTCGATAAAAATTGTAAATTTTGTATTTTGAAGCTTATTGACGACACGATCTGTTTCGACCGGGCACAAAACATTTGTAATAATGTTTTTACATTTTGTTCGGCTCATGCTCATGCTTTTTAACACATTAGGATCTTCTCTTATATGTTGAAAAAAACTGAGGATTTCTTTTGGATTCCGTTTGATGCGAAATATTTTTATCAGCAATTAATGCAGCATATCTAATTTCTGCTATTCTCTTTCGTTCTTTAAACGAAAGTGAATCATCTGCTACGTTTTCGTTTGTTATATTCTTTGTTTCTGTTTTAATTTTACATATTTCTAAATGTGCTTTTGATTCTGCGTGACGATATATTTTGGATAAATCCGCTTTCATAGATTTATCACAAAATAAACAAAAAAATGAATTTCTATTGTGCGATATTTTTTGCAACCATGGATTAAATAATTCTATCTCTAGCCACTGTTGTTGAAACTTGTATTTTTCAGATATTTTTTTATCTACATTTTTATTATTATTTTCATCAGTGCATGAATTATTTTCTTTAATATTATTTTTATGAGTCGCAGAATTTGCATGTCTCAAAACATGCGTATTGCACGAAATATTTTTATTGCATATTGTGCAATGATATAAGCTTTCATCAAAAGGTACTTTACGTATCCAACAATTAATACGCTCATCATTGAGCCAATACTCTGAAAAGCTTCGCTTAGATTTTTTTTTAATTCATCGCACATTATGAAATAAAAAATAATCAGAAACAAAGAATTAAAGAAGAGTGAATAAAAGAAGATAAAGTCAAAAGGATAAAGATATATAAAAATTTTAAATAATAACTCACAATCGGGATCGTGATAGTCTCTTGAACACCAAGGTTTCACAAGGCACGTATATAAACAAATGCCGAGTGTGCGTCATTCTCAGTACACGAAAGAACGGCGATAAACGAATTTGAACTGAACGTCAACATAATGGCTCGTAAGTAAATCATTATATATTTGTACACGGTAAAAAACATTTTGTATTTCTGTAGATTTTTCTTGTGTAGAAATTTTTGTGTTAAATTTTTAACATACTTTTATGTTAATGTAACATATTGTCGTTGTGTTATTTTGACTTTTCTACATTGAGTTAATACACAGTCTGTCCCATTTCCGATGAGACTACTCTAAATAAAAAAAAAAGACGCTTTGCAGTGCATTTCTTTTAACATATTTATTCAAAATAATCCCCCTCTGAGTTAATACAGCGTTGTAAGCGATCATAAAACTTGTCAAAGCATGTCTGGTACTCATGAGCCGGAATAGCCTTGAGGATGTCGGTCGAAGTCTTCTGGATGGTAGGAATCGTACTGTAGGTTTTCCCCTTCATGGCTAATTTAAGTTTGGGAAATAGCCAGAAGTCGCACGGAGCTAGATCAGGCGAGTACGGTGGGTGATCGAGCGTTATGATGCTTTTTTTGGCCAAGAACTCGCGTACAATTAGGGCTTTGTGCGATGGTGCATTATCGTGTAACAAAAACCAACTGCCAACTTCCTTGTATTCCGGTCGAACACGATGAATTCTGTCCCACAATCTCTTCAGAACAGCCAAATAACATTGCGCATTCACAGTCTGACCTTCTGGAATGAATTCCTTATGGATGATGCCTTTGGAATCGAAAAAAACGATGAGCATCGTCTTGATTCGACTCTTCTGCATCCGCACTTTCTTCTCTTTCGGCTCATCTGGTGACTTCCATGTCGCGCTCTGCCTTTTGGTGAGTGGCTCGTATTGGAAGCACCACGTTTCATCGCCAGTTACGATAGATGACATGAATACAGGGTCTTTTTCTATAGCAGATTTCATGTTGTTCGCGAGCGACCGAAGAATTCAGAAAGCGCGACAGAATTAACAGAAAGGAGACTTCACACAGCAAGAATAAAGAAACGAGCACGACACGTATAATTTTTTTGGATTTTTCTTAAAGTTTTTTATTTTAAACACCACACAAAAATTAAGATAAATTTTAACAAAGATATGATTTCAGAACGTAAAAATGAGCGGAGTCCAATAAAGAATAGCGGCGGTTGTATATAAAGCGGTTTAATCAAAGCGGTTTTCTAAGCGGTTTTGCAAGTACTGCGAGCAGCGGAAAGTGCGAGACTTACCTGGTCCACGCACGGTGCCCCTTTTTATAGTGAGCGAAATTTTGGGCCCGTTGCGACGTGGACCAATTGACTTTAAATTTGGCGGTGACCTCAGAGCGCCGCGCATTATTGACCGCCGATGAAGTCAAGAATTGTAATTTTTATAATTGCCATGCGCGCGCTCTTTTGCGATCAGCTGATTGGCGATCAGCTGATCGTGACGTATGGGCGCGCATGCCCGTGTGTCGCGTAAGTTTCGGCAACGGTTGACAATGTTGTTGTCAATTGTTTATTGCGGGCGTTTTTTATGCGGCGCAAAAACAAGATAAGACTCGAACGATCGAGTTTTTTTCTGAAAAATAGAAACTTCGGGAAGATTCTCGACGGCCGTTAATTTTGAATCTTCGTACTTAACAAAGAAAATGCGAATTTTAATTATGCGGATGTATGCGTTTAAATGAATTTTGAACATCCCGCCCGCCTCGTCAGTACGTGACGAAATATAAGTGTGAGAGAGTGCGGACAGGTGTCGTAAGCTGATGAGATGAGAAGTGATTGATGAATGGAATGTGAAAGTGACGTAGCGTACGATATGTTATTGCGATCAGTCGGATCTTTCGCGAGAACGTATAATGCGTAATTATGAAACGTGTGCGGCGGTGAATTATATAAACAATGAGCGAAGTGAATTAGTGAACGGTCTCGCGATTGTATGGTGGTGAGTGATCGCAAGTGAAGTGCAATGATGTGAAAATGCGAGCAGGATGCGGACGCGAAAATCGCAGCAACGGAAAACGGATAACGACGCGACTTGATTGTGATTAAAATATACAATTACACGCGGCACGATTAAACATATATACAAGGTTACAAAAAAAGTAAAAAAAAATAGAGAAAACGTGGTTTTTTTGGCTCACGACTCCGGATGTGTTGGTGCTGTAACGTCGGCTCCCGGCAGAAGGACGATCTTCGCCAGAGGCCGGAGGAGCTCCGAGGATGCGGTGCGCACCGTGACCACGCGTGTCACGCCGTCGTCCCCAGGGTGCAGCTTGGTGATCCGAGCGAGTGGCCATCGGGTTGGTGTAGTGATGTCCGACCGCACTAGACACAGACCGCCGACGGTGGGACTTGCTGTGTCCTTCAACCACTTTGGTCGGGAAGCCAGTGAGTTGATGTACTCCCGCGACCACCTTTCCCAAAAGTGGTCGCGCATCCGTTGGAGAAGTTTCCAGCGGGACAAGAGGTTGACGTTGACGTCTGCCAGTGAGGGTTCGGGCACTGCCAGCAAGGGAGCCCCGATTAGAAAGTGATCCGGAGTGAGCGCCGTTAAGTCGTCGTGGTCATCGGACAGTGCCTGAAGTGGACGAGAGTTGAGGCACGCCTCCACCTGAGCGAGGAATGTAGACATTTCCTCGAAGGTGAGGGTCGTGTCTCCGAGAACTCTTCGCAGGTGGTGTTTGGTGGATTTCACCGCTGCCTCCCAAAGCCCGCCGAAGTGAGGTGCCGCCGGCGGATTGAATCTCCACCGTATTCCGTCGGACGCTGCTGTGTGGGCGATGCGCCGGCCGTCGGATGACGACGTCTGGAACAGGAATCGCAGTTCTCGGTTTGCGCCGACAAAATTTGTGCCGCAATCCGAGTAGACTTCCTCGCAGAGGCCCCAACGGGAAGTGAAGCGCCGGAATGCAGCGAGGAATGCGTCCGTGGAATAATCCGACGCGGCTTCCAGATGTACGGCCTTGGTGGTGAGGCAGATGAAAACTGCGATGAATCCTTTGTGCGATTTGTGTCCTCTCCCCTTGGTGGTTCGGATCAGGATCGGCCCGGCGTAATCAACTCCAGTCCGCAAGAATGGACGTGCTGGAGCGACTCGCGCCGTCGGAAGGTTGCTCATCATGGGCTGCGGCACTGCAGCCTTCCATCTTGCACACGTTACGCATCGGTGGATGACCCTCTTGACGATGGAGCGACCTCGAGGAATCCAATACCGTAGGCGGAGCAGGCCGAGAGTGAGCTGAACCCCGCCGTGGAGAGTTCGTCTGTGATGAGCCCTGACGAGAAGATGTGTCAGCCACGAATCTGAAGGTACGATGATTGGGTGGCGCTCATCATCTGAGAGCACTGCGTGCTTCAGCCGGCCCCCAACTCGAAGGATTCCCTGAATGTCGAGGAAGGGGGTCAAATTCGCTAGCTGATCCTTGACTAACCCTTTATTCTGTTTCAGGGCGGTGATCTCCTTGGAGAAATGGTGAGATTGCACCAAGCGGAGCCAACGGAGCAGGGCCGCCTCCAACTCGTCGGCCGTGAGGTTGAGGTAAGCCTTGGAGCTCAGTGGGTTGCCTCTCCATCGGCAACACCAAGCTGTGACTCTCAAGAGGCGATGGAGGTCGGAGAACCTGATGAGCATCTCCGGTTCGGTCCTCCGTGCAGACGTCAAGTGAGAGGTGATTGCTCTCGTCTCCGGCACCTCGACGTCGTGGATGGCGTGGTCGTTCTGTGGCCAAAGCGACGGATCCTCGACGAGCCATGGGGGTCCCGTCCACCAGAGGGAGTGGTTGAGAAGATCCCGTGACTCAATCCCCCGAGAAGCGCAGTCGGCAAGGTTGACTCGTCCTGGGATGTGTCGCCATCGTGCCTCTGGAAGCTTCGTCTGGATGTGGGACACCCTGTTGGCCACGAAAGTCTTCCACCTGGAGGCATGACCCTGGATCCATTGGAGAGTCACCCGGGAATCCGACCATAAAGTGACTGGAGCTGAAACCAAGCCTAAGGTCTTGCGGAGATGGAAAGTCAGGTTAGAACTGCTAACTAGAACTGCGGCGCACGATTCTAAACGCGGTAGAGACACGGGCTTAATGGGTGCAACCTTGCTTTTTGCAGCAAGCAGGCTACTGATTGAAGCGGAGGAGCCCGCCACGCGGAGGTAGACGGTTGCTGCGTAACCTCGCTCTGATGCGTCAGCAAACCCGTGGAGCTCAACTTGTGGCTGCTCGTCAGTGTTCAGCCATCGTGTTAGCCGAAGCTGCTCCAACAGCGGAAGATCATCAAGGAGGCGTCTCCATAAAGTCTCATCTGACTTAGGCAGTGGGGAGTCCCAATCCAGGTGCTTCATCCAGGCTGACTGAATGAGAATCTTGGCACGAGCAACGACTGGAGTTAACCAACCTAAAGGATCGAAGATCCGAGCCGTCTCTGCCAAGACCAGTCGCTTCGTCAGCGATCCAGTTGCGCGAGGCTGAAGGCGGAACGTGAAGAAGTCGCTGCGGGGGTGCCATCGCAGGCCCAGCGTTGGATGAGCGTCGTCCTCCCAGTCGTGATGAGGCTGCTGGAGTTGATGCTCCCTTGGGATGTCCTCGAGGATTGTCTTGTGATTTGAGGCCCACTTCCTCAAGGGGAACTCGCCCGCCATGCAGAGCCGGCGTAACTGCCTCTGCGTTTCGACTGCCTCGGACAGAGTACTGGCGCCGGTGACGATGTCATCAACGTAGCAGTCGCGCCGCAAAACGACAGCCCCCTTGGGATTTCCGGGCTCTTTGTCGTCGGCTAATTGGCGAAGAGTTCTGATCGCCAGGAAAGGAGCACAGGCCAATCCGTACGTCACGGTGTTGAGCCGATACTCCTGGATGTTGTCGGTGCCTTGCCGTCTCCATAGGATCCGCTGCAAGTCTCGGTCTTCGGGGTGCACGAGAATCTGCCTGTACATCTTCTCGATGTCAGTGACGAAGACGAAACGGTGCCAACGCCAGCGAAGCAGGACATCAGCGAGAGTTGGCAGAAGGTTGGCTCCGACCAGTCAACTCTTATTGAGGGAGTCTCCGGCAGGCGTGCATTGGGATCCGTTGAAGACAACCCTCAATCTGGTGGTCGTGCTCGCAGTTCGGAGCACACCGTGATGCGGTAAGTAGCATACTGGTGTATTGCTCACAAGCGGTGTATTGACCAAAGTCATGTGCTTCAATTTTGCATATTCTTCTAGGAAGTCGCAGTAGAGCATGTCGAAGTCATCGTCTCTGGAACGACGTCGCTCCATTGCCGCGAGAAGTCGCTCGGCGGATTTTCGTGTATGGGTGAGAGGTGGCAGAGAGCCAGCCAGCGGCAGTCGTACCTTGTACCTCCCGTCTTCTTGGCGCTCGTGAGTGCGACTGAAGATCTCTTCGCATCGTTCTTCATCTGGTGTGATGGCGACGGAAGCAGGCTGTTCCCGTTCTTGCTCCCAAAATCTTAGAACCAGATCGTTCAGGTCTTGGTCGAGAGCACACTGGAGGGAGCTGATGACGCCATTGGATGTCACCACTCCGCAGCCTCCTGACAAGATCCACCCGAATGCCGTCCTCTGCGCGACGAGTTGGTCCTCGCGGCCCTTTCGGAGTCCATCGAGAAGGATGGAGGAAAAGACATCGGCACCGAGGAGAAGATAAATCGGGTCTCGCTGCAGATAGTGTGGATCTGCCAAAGTGAGGCCGTGAGTGTGCCTCCACGTGGTGGAGCCCCGAACTGCTGGCCCCTGGTAGGAAGACAACCTTGGAAGGACGTAGGCGACTACAGTGAGAGGTGCTCCAGTCGCCTTTGACTTTAATGCGAGCGTGATCCTTCCGCGAGTGGATCCTGACCGTGCTCCAACACCGATTACCGACATTGAGCAGCGAGTGCGCGCCAGCCGCAGGCGCTGAGCTAAATCTTCTGAGACGAGAGACACCTCGGATCCTTGATCGAGCAGAGCTCGCACGTCGTGAGGTTGTCCCGAGCGGTCGTTGAGGATGACGCGCGCCGTGGCGAGAAGAGTCGCCTTGTGATCGTGTGCAGTGTGTGTGGTTGAAAAAGTGCTTGCCTCTTGTGTCGATGTTGGTGTCGATGTTGGTGTTGCGTACGCGTCGTGCAACAGTGTGTGGTGCCGCGATTTGCAAGTAAAGCACGTTTTGACGGACTGACATTTCGCCATCACGTGATTTCCGAGGCAATTAAAACAGAGCCCGCTTGTGTCGACGAATGACTTTCTTTCGCTCGCGGACTTGGACTTGAACTCAGGGCACTGCATGAGTGTGTGCTTGCCCTTGCACGCGGCGCACTTGGAAGCGTCGAACCCGTTCCTCACGAAGTGAGACTTAGCGGACCGTGAGGTTTCCCCAGCGTTCTTCGTGGCGTTCTTCGGTTTAGCGGCGTTTAAGGTAAGGATCCTTTTGTTTATGAAGTTTACGAGAGTCTTGTGAGTTGGCGGGTCGAGGGAATCGCTCGTGGAAGATTCCCACTCGAGACGTGTTCGCGAGTCGAACAACTCAATCACTAGGTGATTGAGGAGATCCATCCCATGCGAGTGGATGGGTCTTCCTATACTCTCCTGCGTGTTGACGGTGGCCGTGACAGCGTGATGAACGCGACTCAGCTCTTCAGCGGACTCAGACTTCATCTTTCCGACGGCAGTGAAGGTAGAGAAATTTAAACGCATGAGTTCCCTTTTATTTTCAAAATGTTTAGCCAAGATCGCCCACGCGCGGTCGTAATTCTCGCTTGTGACAGTTAATGATCTAATTAATTTCTCCGCAGATCCTTTGACGCAGGAGCGAAGATAGTGGAACCGCTCAATATTTGAGATCGACGAATTTTCTCCCACGAGAGACAAGAAGAGATCCCGAAATGAAGGCCAGTCTTCATAGGCGCCCGAGAATGGCGGCAGTTTTATACGCGGCAACGCGGTTTTTGGCGAAGACTCCGACCTTGGCTCGCTTTTGGGCGCGGTAACTGATTCTGCCCTTAGACTTTCTGCGTAGTCGGTCAACGTGCTTCGCTGAGACACGTAAGTGCATTCCGCCGAATCGATAAAGTCAGACTTAGCGTACTCACTCTCCAAGTATCTGTCCTTTAGTGCTGCTCGAATCATCTCGTGCTGGGCCTCGAGTTTCCCCCAGAGACTGTCGAGGATGCTGAGACGAGCCTGGATGGCACCGGGAGTGATGTTGGCGACCCCCATCTTCCTGAGATTGTCCACAGAACGAGACATTCGTCCGTGGATATCGGTTTGAGCCTCTAACAGTACTTTCAGGTCGACACTCATTCTAATTGTTCTGTCTTTTGTCTGTTCAGGAACTTACAGCACTGCACAGCACTGGAACTGTCACTCACGAAGCTGCGGATACGGATCAGCAATTATCCGGCTCGAAGGACCATAAATGTTCGCGAGCGACCGAAGAATTCAGAAAGCGCGACAGAATTAACAGAGAGGAGACTTCACACAGCAAGAATAAAGAAACGAGCACGACACGTATAATTTTTTTGGATTTTTCTTAAAGTTTTTTATTTTAAACACCACACAAAAATTAAGAGAAATTTTAACAAAGATATGATTTCAGAACGTGAAAATGAGCGGAGTCCAATAAAGAATAGCGGCGGTCGTATATAAAGCGGTTTAATCAAAGCGGTTTTCTAAGCGGTTTTGCAAGTACTGCGAGCAGCGGAAAGTGCGAGACTTACCTGGTCCACGCACGGTGCCCCTTTTTATAGTGAGCGAAATTTTGGGCCCGTTGCGACGTGGACCAATTGACTTTAAATTTGGCGGTGACCTCAGAGCGCCGCGCATTATTGGTCGCCGATGAGGTCAAGAATTGTAATTTTTATAATTGCCATGCGCGTGCTCTTTTGCGATCAGCTGATTGGCGATCAGCTGATCGTGACGTATGGGCGCGCATGCCCGTGTGTCGCGTAAGTTTCGGCAACGGTTGACAATGTTGTTGTCAATTGTTTATTGCGGGCGTTTTTTATGCGGCGCAAAAACAAGATAAGACTCGAACGATCGAGTTTTTTTCTGAAAAATAGAAACTTCGGGAAGATTCTCGACGGCCGTTAATTTTGAATCTTCGTACTTAACAAAGAAAATGCGAATTTTAATTATGCGGATGTATGCGTTTAAATGAATTTTGATTATAGATGACATGAATACAGGGTCTTTTTCTATGGCAGATTTCATGTCTTTGCAATGATTCACTCTCATGTCTTTCTGCTCCTCCGTGAGAGAATGTGGAACAAATCGCGCGCAGATCTTTTTCTTTCCCAAATTTTCGGTCAGAATGCGATGGACTACACTCTTAGGAATGCCAGTCATCTCTTCAATAAGTCTTGCGGACACACAACGGTCAGAGCGCAGAATTTGGCTGACTTTCTCAATGTTTGTTTCATTCCTCGAGGTTCTCGGCTTTGATGAGCGTTTATCGTCTTCAAGGTCTTCACGACCATCACGAAATCTAGCAAACCAGCGGAATACTTGTGCACGGGATAGACACTGGTCACCGTAAACGTTTTTCATCGATGTGAATGTTTCTTGTGCAGTTTTGCCCAACTTAAAACAAAACTTGATATTCGCTCTTTGCTCCATTACGACAAACTGACACGTTGGACGTTTGTTTACAATGTCGTAACTATTAACAGAACAATTGAAGCGCTACGAAATTCAGTGTGAAGATAGATGAAAGATGTGTCTACAAATTTAAATAGATGAATCGGAGATGGCGCTGCAATCGGCCGTTAATTTAAACCAGTCTTATCGGAAATGGGACAGACTGTGTATTCACTGTTTCTAAGAGTTAAAAACAATACAATAACGTTCAAATGTTACATTTTTGTGTTAATTTTTTACATATTACTTGTTATTTATTTACATATTTGCCTTCTTAAATTAACATTAAAATTAGAGTGAATAAATTGGAACATGTGAAATATGTTAAATTTAACACAAAATGTTTTACTGTATAAAAAAATACTAAGAAACTCATCTTTTTAATTTTTCTAAATTTTAGAGGAAATCAATGCAGAAATGGGCGCGCTCGCTCTCCAAGAGCCAGATATGCGGCAGTTGATGCAACAAATGTTGCATCAACAACAATTGTTCCAGCAGCAGCAGCAACAGCAACAACAGCAACAACAGCAACAGCAGCAGCAGCAGCAAGAAGAGAAGGAACAACAGGCGCAAAATGGTAAATTATTTTTTTATATTAAATTTTATTTATCCAATTATTTATATATATATATATGCATTTTTATAATTTATTTATTATTTATGTTTTAATTTTCAGATAACATAAGAAAAAGAGGAGGCGGACAGTCCCGTAGACGATGGTATGCCCGGCGAAATAGGGGCACTAGGGACGGATGGGGCGTCGCCAGCACCCAAAATAGGGGAGACCGAGAAGCTGGCCGAGGACGAGGAGGCGGCCGAGGACGAGGAGGCGGCCGAGGCCGAGGAAGGCCAATAATTATAAATAATTATTATTATTAAAAAAAATTATTATAATTAAAAAAAAATTATTAATAAAAAAAAATAAAAAACAATATAATAATCCAGAATATTTTACTTTCCCTTATTTCTACTTTCTTCCTTCCTTTTTTGTAAAATATAAGGAAATAATGGAATGTGGTATAATAGGGCTCCAGGCGTCCACATAAAAAACCTAACGCGCCATTAATGATACCTCATGGGTGGTGTGGAAAATCGCACTATTTTTCTTAATTTCATATTTTAAATGTATAAAAAAATTAATTATATTTAATATATTATAAAACGTGTGTGTATATATATGTAACATATACAGGGTGGGGCATTTATCTTGAGACAAGATAATATCTCGATTGGAGTCGATTATTTTGAAAAAAGTTTTAGACAAAAGTTGTAGGGCATTAAAGAGGCTATCGAAAGGTCCATATTACAACTTCCGGTCTAGACCGGAAGTGGCGTTTTTTGATCAGAATTCGTTTTTTAAAATGGAAACACCCATTTTTTGCCGCGGATTTCGATTGGAAATCGAAAAAAAAATACTTTTTGTTCTTATTATTTTTTCGATTTAACCCATATTTTGGCCATAAAAAACAAAAAAACACAAAAATCTTGAGATAACGGAGTACTTTGTTGGGGTTGTGTCCAGGAGGCCAAAACACTTTGGATAGCATATATCACATGTAAAGTACAGACTACTTTTTCATGGGGTGGTGATTTTTAATCTAAACTTAATAAACTAGAAAAAGATTTAACGGATTACTTTGAAAAAACATAATTGACATTTTTTTGTATTTTCGTTTTCTTTTTTCGTGAGTTTTTAAATTTAATATAGGAGATATTTACCCCATTTCATTTATCCTAATTTTTTTTCTGAAATCAGATTATCTTTTCAAATTTTGTCAGTGCAAAACTTTTTTTAAAATGGAGGCTGTTTCTGTAGAAGAGAAGATAGAAATGATTCTTATTTATGGTGAATGTGAAAGAAATGTTGACGATGCCGTTACACTTTATGCTGAACGTTTTCCGGATAACGTGCGATCTCGAGCATCTTTTTATCGGGTTGTTACACAATTTCTACAAGAGGGAAGTGTGTCTAAGAGAAAAAGAGCCCGTTGAAACCTAGTTACTGGAACTGACAATGAAATTGCTGTATTAGCTGCAGTAAATGTTGACCCTCATGTCAGTACTCGACAAATTGCACGCGATTCTGGAATTTCGCGACGTAATGTAGGCAGGATATTAAAACGTTATAAATATCATCCCTATCACATTTCGTTGCACCAAGAACTTCATGATAATGATTTTCAGAACCGAGTTATCTTTTGTCAATAGGCATGTCAACAAATACAACAAGATCCTAATTTCTTTGCTAAAGTCCTATTTTCAGACGAGTCCTCTTTTACGAACCACGGCACGGTTAATAGATATAACATGCACTACTGGAGTATTTAAAATCCACATTGGTTACGCGAAGTTGAGCATCAGCGTCAATGGTCTGTGAACGTTTGGTGTGGAATAGTTGGTGACAAGATAGTAGGTCCATACTGCTTGAAGGCAATTTAAACGGCGAAACATATCGTAATTTTTTACAAAATCAACTTCCGCTTTTACTTGAGGACGTACCCTTAAATGTAAGACAACAAATGTGGTTTCAACACGATGGATGTCCATCGCATTAC